AGACTCATGCTGGTAACCTCGAAAACACTATCCAACCATCTCGTCCTCTGTCGCCCCCTTCTCCTTGTGCCCTCCATCTTTCCCAGCATCAGTGTCTTCTCCAGGGAGTCTTCTCTTCTCATGAGGTGGCCAAAGTACTGGAGCCTCAACTTCACGATCTGTCCTTCCAGTGAGCACTCAGGGCTGATTTCCTTCAGAATGGATGTGTTTGATCTTCTTGCAGTCCATGGGACTCTCAAGAGTCTTCTCCAGCACCATAATTCAAAAGCATCAATTCTTCGGCGATCAGCCTTCTTTATGGTCCAGCTCTCACTTCCATACATCACTACTGGGAAAACCATGGCTTTAACTATACGGACCTTTGTTGGCAAACATTCCTCCGAGTGGATTTTTAAAAAATTCCAAACATTCCAAACATTCCTCCGAGTGGATTTTTAAAAAATTCCATCTATTCCAATGGGCCTAATCTGAGCATGACTAACAGAAGATATTCAGCCATTATGTCGATGTGCTTTTTACCTCTCAAAGAATGCCAAGAGAAAACATAAAACAATTCAAAACAAAATATCAGATAAAGCAATCTAACAAAATATAGCATAAAACAAAATATAAAACATCATCCATGGAGTGGTCTCTAGTTCACAAAAGCTTATGGCACACTGAAACTTGCTAGTCTTCAAGGCATGGGATAGCCAACCTTTATGGGCACAAGGATGTGTTTGAAAATCGAAGAAATATCATGGGCAGCTCTGAACATCATTTGTGATTCTTATTTTTATCTGTAAGATACCTTGATTCCCATCAGGGGAAAAAGCGCCGTATATATAAATATATACTAATAATACTAATACTAATACTGTAACCTTATGAGGCTTTGCCCTCGGGTGGGAAAAATATTGCGCCGGGTAAAGGGAAGTGGGAGTCAACAGACACTCAAGGAATAGTTTCGAAGAAAAAGCTTTTATTTCTACCATCCATGAAACTGGTAGAAGGAGCAAGTGTGATAACTCACAAAAAGCATGCACGAGTTCACAGTCATGTGCACAAACATATATACCCCCTTCCAGTTCCCTCCCCCTTTCTCCTCCTTCTTCCAGAGTCCTGCCCCATGAGTTCCTCTGAGCATGAACAGAAAGCTGTCTTGGGACTATTGTGGACTCTTGGCACCCTTCCCAGGAAAGGGGAATGAGAAGCGGTTCAGCATGTCCAAAGATGTTGCAACAAGAATGAGATAAGATTCGTTTCTCAGGCCTGCTTTGAACAGAGCCTATTCATTAGCTTTTAAAAGTAACATTTTGCCTTTTGCCACAGCATCTTGTGAGAAAAGCAGAGACAAGCAGAGAAAAGCTGTTTTGGATTTTTAGAAGACAAAAGGAATTTTGGACAGTTTTGAGGCCTGGGGTGATTACAGACAGGATTTTGGTATCCTGTCCCTTCAATACTACTACTACTACTACTACTACTACTACTACTACTAATAATAATAATAATAATAATAATAAAGTGGTGGTGCTCAGAACCTCTCCCAAAACAGGCAAAAATCCTGTCCCCAAACAAATAACACAAAAGAAAACAAAAGTGGGCACTACCCTCAGAAAATGAGAACAGAAAACAGACAGCTCTCCCAGTCAACAAAAATGCCAAAAAACTGATTCAAAAATAAAAATTGGAAGGAGCACAAGCCCCATGGCACCATAAGTGGGGATCCCAGCTTAAAGGTACCAGAAGCCTTCCTGTTTTTGCTTCAAGAAACATGTCTATACATCTGGAAATTAATAAATGAGTGTTATAATTATTGTCCCATAAATGTCAGGTGACTATTCCTCTCCTCCCTCCCATCAACCTCAGGATAACCTCCCTATTTGGGTTCCTGCTATTTCCAATGTGGCGTGTGTGCATTTCATTTGGTCTAGCTTTAGCAGAGACTGATGCTGGCGGCAATCCGCCTGCAAGCTTGTAGAGTGAATTATATTAATGGGGAAACAGCCTCTCTCTCTCTCACCCCCGCCCCCAAGCAAAACATCCCAAAAGCTCACTGAGCAGTTAATGCAGCTCCATGCCTCCTGCAATGCAGACATGAGCCTGGAAGGTGCAACTGAGCTTTTCAAGATCCTTTCAGCTTTTGCCGTAGGAAAAAAAGGAACCAGGGAGAAGAGGAATCCGCATAGAAAAGTGGTTCCTCTGGGTTCACTTACTTAGTTTTACAATTCATGCTGCTCTGCAGTGACAGTAACTGGAAGCAAAAATGATCAGGTACCACCAGCATTATGCACTGATTAAATCAGCGGTGAGGATGGACAGAGCCCTCTCCTATAGCTATAATGTTAAATTGCTTGCTGTAGCTCCAGCAAAGCAGAGATGTGCTGAGCTACAAGAGTGTGTAATCTGATTGTTCCAGCCAACTAGGCACGGCAGCTGATATTCACTAACTTTCATTATCAGCAGAAACAGACAACAATAAAAACTCAACAGAGCACAAATTTCCGTTGTCTATATAAACTAGGAAACATAAGGGAAATACCAGAAGCGAACGTTAAAATATCTGTTTGTACAACTAAGACCCAAAATCCTGCAGTCCTCCTATTGCTTAATCGCATTTTAATCGGTCCAAAAGGACGTGTACTGCTATATGCAGTAATTAGAATACCGTTTCTAACATTTACTGAGCTTCCAGTTTTTCATGGTTTTAATATCCAGTAAACTCCTCTGAGTATTTTATGGAAAACCACCCCATAACATTTAAGGCACATCAGAATTAAAGAAATGCAAACATTCCAGAGAACTGAATAGGCATTAAGGTACACTAATGGAGATCTAAGAACATTTACATGGTTCTTTTAGGCAGGCAAAAGACAGCAAAAAAACACACAACAAAGTTCGTATTTGAGGCGTTCACACCAACTACAAATTAAGAGTGAATTAAAATGCCAACCTACAAAGTAAAATCAGGAAAAATGTTACACTGAAGGTGCATATAGCATGCTCCGCATGGATGAAAATGAATGTTCATAGAGAAAGAAGCAATTGAAGGCTTAATTTCATTTCTAGGTGAATTTTATAGCAGAACAGCCTTCAAAATTGTGAGAATAGCGTCACTGTTTCCAATTCAGAACCATTTTCTTGGATGCCAGGAATGAACCTCATCCTTCCATCCATACTGAAAAGAGGAAAGCTTCTCTCTATGAGAAAGTGTAATGGTTTCTGATGTAAATGAAACTACCCCCACCCACCCACCCATTGACAGGGTGCTGATGGAAGGGGGGCACAGTCCTGTATATATTTTTCTGGGGGTTTTTTTCCAAATGTGGCAGCTATTTTGGGTTGTGCAGACATTCAAGGCAGACATTCTGTGACTGGCACCCATATGCCCTTCTCAAAATTCCAGATGTTCCCACTGGTCCAAAAAGGTTGCTGAGCCCAAAGAATATAATAATGCCATCATGCTGAGCAAATTACATGAGACAGTGTGAAATTTATGGAAGTATCACTTATAATTTGAATTCCAAAACCGTATTTTTGTGAAATTTCCAGTGATATGCTGGGTTCACAGATAAATGGAGCAGCTTCTCTGAACCCTTCACAAGAACATGATAGGTCCCTGTTGCTGCTTATAAGAAAAGATTAATTTAAAATTTGACAGATTTAGGCAAATGTGCATCAATAATGTGCTTTTCATTATTATGCACCAAGGCAATTTATTTACATTACAGTGCATAACAAGCACAAGCACTTGACTTAATCTATGCAAACATAATTTAGAAATCCACTCTTATTCAATTGTAAAATGAAAATCCTTTTAACTTGTTGCTTAAGAGATTCCACTGTGATGATCGTTACCCAGTTGTCATTGTTTATCATATCCTCTAAGTAGATGCAGCTGTTAAGCGTTCAGGACAAAATTACTGTGATGAACTATCATGGAGGTGCACGTCTGACCAGACATTTTGATACTCTGTGTGATGTCTGCTTTTAAAAACCAACTCTACTTGAAAATACCCAACAATATTTATTGTCCAAGGGTAATTTATCCACTTCTCTCCAGTGTCACCTCTATGGACATATTTATATAGTAAGCTATACTAATCCTTGTGTGATGAATTATGTGTTTTCTTGATTACAGCCTTCACAGCTACAAGTTTTTTCTAGAAAGAGGATGTCTCAATACAAACCAATTTCCTCTCTGTACTCATGCTACCTGAGATGGTGATGTCTTGAGAAAACAAATATATGTGTCTTGCCGCAAGGAATTCCTCAGAATGCTGTCAGCATAATAAATACCCCATAAGTGTATTATTGTGACAGTGGGTCATAATTCTCCATATAGTGGCAGATTCTGGAGCAGGAATATGTGCCATTGCTAATATGTCCCCATGAACCACTTCCATCTTAACTCTACAGTAGTAAAACTGAGCACTAAAATGTTTGTTTCTGTCGTTACATAGCAGTCATGTCCCACAACAGCCCTGGGCGCCAGCTCTGTCCTTTCATCTTCTGTGAGGAAGCACTTCCTTCCTCACATTTATTTGAGAAATCGGGACAAAAACCTCATGCCAGTCCCATCATCTATCAAACTGGTGCCCATTGGTGGTGGCCCCAAAGTCTGGAATGGCTATCAAGTACAATGTAACAGATCCAGAATACAGGTCATTTAAAATGAACTGTCAATACCTTTCTCTTCTGCAAAGTTGTTTATTATTATCTATCAGCTCCCATGTAAAGTGTGGGAGTGGCAGAATTTTCTGCAGCATGTGACAAGACAGTCCATGATGCCAATCTCCCAGGTGGTGAACCTGCAGGTAAGTGTGTATAGGAATGCAACGCAATATGTTGTATTATACAGTACTAGCTCACTGTTTTAATCTGTCCCTGTTATACCTTAATTGTTATTGCTGTGATTGTACTGGTAATTCATTTTTCTTTTAACTAGCTTTCTCTGATATTTCCTCTTTTTTAAAAGTATAAATGTTTCAAATAAATAAGTAAAACATTACTGATCCTACCACTCTCAGCCATGCTATGAAGAGTTTGTTCGCAAGCACTTTCTCTATATCATACGTATCATCACCTATCAACATTCCCTTTCTGTTGATAGGACAAACACTATGTAAGAGAATGAACGGACAAACAAATCTATCATTTAAGAAACAGGAACATGCAGAAACTACTGAGGCCCATGTTGGTCTGTGACACCCATGAGGAAATACACAAAACCAATTGTTATTAATTCCATTCTCTGAAGTAGAGATTAAGGAAATCGTTCTTTTAAAAATGGCAAATAGTAGGACACCTGGATCAGATGGATTTCCAGTAGAGTAGTATAAAACTTTCATAGATCTCTTGGTGCCGAAACTTCACCAACTGTATGACAGGATATTTGATAAGGGAACTTTATGAGAGGCATTTAACCAAGCTTGCATTGCTGTTATACCGAAAACAGGTAAAGATCATACTCAGTGTCCTAATTATCATCCAATTTCACTGATTAATGTCAGTGGCGTAGCATGGGGGGTGCAGGGGGGGCCGGCCGCACCGGGCGCAACATCTGGGGTTAGGGCAAATCCACAGGTTAGGGGGCGCAAATCCACGGGTTAGGGGACGCAAATCCACGGGTTAGGGGGCGCAAATTACTTGCCTTGCCCCGGGTGCTGACAACCCACGCTACGCCACTGATTAATGTTGATACTCTATTGTCTCTGTGCATGTGCACATGCCTCTACACCAGTCAACCTCCCAATGCCTTATCTCTTGTGCCACCAGGATTCTGGCTCCTAAATAAACAAAGTAGATGAGGCACCACAGGTTTTTTAAATTTCAGAAAGCAGCCTAAATACTGTCAGCAGACTAAAGGCCAATCCAAACAAATCAGGTTGTATGCAGCCCTGATAACAAAGTAACACCCTTGATCTGAGTAACTCGTTGCCTTGCTCTTTTTGCCCACATGGTTGGAACCTGACTACTAGCCCATGAAATGGCATCATCCAGTTCTGGCACTTTAGATCCTGGCATGCATGGACTAGAACCAGACCCTCAGCTGGCCTTGGACTCCACAGCCTAACAATGAGCTTGGCTGAGGTCTGATGAAACTTAACCTCAATGTTCGACAACTGACCTTAAGCTTGCTGTATACTTAAAACAAATTTAAAAAAAAAGAGTCAAAAGGAACAAGAAGCTACAGAAACTAGAATTCGTAAATAACAAGTCAGCATGATGTCCCCGGGTTTAAATGTGGATTATGGAGGGATCCTTAAAGAAAACAGCATTGACTTCCAGTTTGCAAACCATGTATTGTTTCTATGTGTGATGTTTGAGGTTAGAGTATTAGTTCAGTATTTGCTGAACGTAAAATGAAGCTAGAATGAGCATAGCAACCTTACTTTCTGCTTTGAGGCAACTGCTCTACTTAAATTAGAGGGATTTTTTAAACCAGCAACACAATGTCACTGTAAATGGTTTTCAAAGTAGCTAGTGACCTCAATTAAAGAAAAATCCTATGTCACTTCCTCCTACATGCAGCCTTAATAATAATAATAATAATAATAATAATAATAATAATAATAATAATAAAATAATAAATAAATAAATAAATAGGGCTGCAGGTGAGAAAGGGCTCAGAATTCAGTAATTTCTATTAAATAGAATGTACAATTCATTTCCATTAATAATTTCATATGCAATTCAAATTTTACAACTCTCGTTTTCTGATTGTATATTGTTGGAGTCAGAGGGAAATTCTGAATTGAAGGCAAGGATGCTCCATAGCTTCCTGCTGAAATTCTGTAACTTCTGATACTACAAATGTTCCAGGGTATTTGGGGCTTTACTTTTGGGTCTCACTTTTGATGTGCTATAGTACAAGTGTAAGGAAAAGGAAAAGGACCTTTCCAGGTTATGTGGCCAGCATGACTAAACCACTTCTGGCGCAACGGTACACCATGATGAGTGCCAAAATGCATGGAAATGCTGTTTACTTTCCAACCATAGCGGTACCCATTTATCTACTCATTCCGGTATGCTTTTGAACTACAGTGGTGCCTCGCAAAATTAATCCGTTCCGCAAGTCTCTTCGTCTTGCGGTTTTTTCGTCTTGCGAAGCACAGCTATTAGCGGCTTAGCGGCTATTAACGGCTTAGCGGCTTTAAGAAAAAGGAAACTAACTCGCAAGAACTCGCAAGACGTTTTGTCTTGCGAAGCAAGCCCATAGGGAAATTCGTCTTGCGGAACGACTCAAAAAACGGAAAATCCTTTCATCTAGCAAGTTTTTCGTCTTGCGAGGCATTCGTCTTGCGGGGCACCACTGTACTAGATTGGCAGGAGTTGGGACAGAGCAACAGGAGCTCATCCCGTTACCCGGACTCGAACTGCTGACCTTCTGATCTGCAAGCCCAAGAAGCTCAGTGGTTTAGATCACAGCGCCACCCGCTCCCTGTAATCCAAGTGTACCCCTCCAGACTGTAATAATATGGTAACAATGAGGAAGCATTACAGAAAAATGAATAAAGTGGAATAATGCATGGATGGTCCTGAAAAAATCCACCATTAATGGACTATTTCTGGACCAATTATATATCAAACACACACACCCAACATAAAAAACTCAGTCTTTGCTTGGATAATGAAAGTATGGGGAATACAATTTTCAGAACTGTAATGTTTGATATGGAATCTTATAATGTACAAAGACAGCTCTCTGAAAAGATGGCCTGGCTTCCAGTTCTACTTAGTGGAGCTCCTAGATATTTTAATAAGCTCTGCAGAAGCTGTCTTTCCACAGGACATAAATTAGCTCACTTTCACATTTGCGAACCCTACAATATTATTGCTAAAACCTTTGGTTAGCATATGTGGTCATAAACAGTGAGACACACCATCTCCCACAATCTCAGTGATGTTAAAAACTGCTAAGTGTAACAATACGTTTTGTTTTTATTTCAACTGGGTAAAGTGGCTGCATAAAAAGAACGAATCACACAGAACTTAATTGGCTGTCATTTGCACAGCAGCAATTGGCGAAGTAACTGGACAATGTTATTTTATTCCGGCTGGAAAAAAAATGCCATTGCAAAGCTGACATGCTGCATCTTTTGTTTCCTGTTTATTCATTAGCTGCATGACACTCTGCCACAGCTGCAAGCAATTAGAGAGTTTTGAAATGTTCTATAAGGTCAGTGATAGAAATTTGCTAAAATTAAAAAATCAGCAAAACAGGACAATTATGTTAATTCATCAACAAAGCAGAGGTCTTGGCTGTACACCACCAATGTAGTTGTGTCCAAATATTAGTGGGGAAATGCAGTCTAAGCACTTGCCCGCCTGCAATACATTGTTAAAGTTCAACATTTTAGCATGTTGCCCGATCTCTACCCCCCCCTTTTAATTACAGTCATATCTTGGAAGTCGAACAGAAGTCCGTTCAACTTCCAAAACGTTTGGAAACCAAAGTGCGGCTTCTGATTGGCTGCAGGAAGCTCCTGCAGCCAATCAGAAGCCGCAGAAGCCCCTTCAGGTTAGACGCTGAGGTTCCAAAGAATATTGGCAACCAGAACACTCACTTCTGGGTTTGCGGCGTTCAGGAGCCAAAACGTCCAAATACCAAGGTGGGATCCAAGTTTGGGATCCAAGGTACAACTGTACTTATTTTCTTTATTTTATATTTAAAGCATTTTCACCACACTCTTTAGCCAAAATAATCTTCCGCATCGTCTTCCATACCAATTAAACAACACTTGAAAGGGCAGTCTGTGCTCTCAGGCTTACAACCTAAAAACTATGTCACAAAAAAAAAAGGGAGGAGGAAGGAGGAGGGGAAGGAAAGCAATTTCATATACAAGTTCTTAAAGTTATAGTTCTTACAATGACCAGCTGGGATGGAAATAACTCAGGTAGCCATTGCAGAGTTGCTATTACACTTCCAGTTTAAAGCAAAACAGCAATGATTGGATGCTGCTAAATGGTCCAAGTCTGGAAGAACCCAGGATGAAGCCTGTTCTTCCAAAGGTCTGAATTCCCCCTATTAAACTTGCTTCAGGGCAGATGGTCAATCATCAACCATCCCATAAAATATGCCTCTACCAGCCACATCCTCTGAACTTTTTAAAAACAGAGGCATTGAAGAAGCAGAGGCACTCAATTTATTGGAGCACTTAGATGGTCTGCTTCCAAAATGCTGTGCAGACACATCAGCTAATCTTTAAACTGCTCCTGGGAGGAAGGCAGTGGTATTCATTTCAGAGAAGAGGAAGACATCTAGACCCGTCCCCCCCCCTTTCCTGGAACATATTCATTAAACGTAACAACATCTCACAGGTAAAAAGTGGTTGTGACTCATGCATTCAAAATTAAAGAGCAAGTCACTGGCTATTAAAGTTTCTTCTGGACCATGATACTAGCTCCCATAAAAGCTGTTCAAAATACTTTATATCACCAGCATAAATAATGCTCGGAAGAAAGCAGAGAGAAGAAACGTCATGGTGCACCAGTAGCAGCCAAACCAAACTTCTACACCTACAACCCAAACACCCACCTGAAATAAAACATGTCTCTCCCCTATCAGTCTCTACTGCCACAACAGGTGCTGTAAATCTCCAACACTTTGACTTTACCTCTGAAGGCGCACTCTTCCACTGTCTCCCGAGACAGCCGGATGCCAACAATAATTTAACACTAGTGATATCCAAGAGTGAGATTTATTATGTCTGTTTGTATATGCAGGGAACACAAAAAGAAGAAAATGTTAAATGACTTGTTCAGTTCACAGCAATGTCTCATCCAACACCCGACTCCTGGTCTTCAGTACTATTTTGGATAACCTTTATCCGACAAATATTGCTACTATAAATTTTTCTAGCACTTCTTTTACTGAACAATGTGCTTTACATTACATATCTCATTATACCAACTGATTTATAGCAGAACCAAGCTGCAAAATACAATGTTCTTTCCGTTTATATCTAAGTCTCTAGAACATTGTTTTCCAAACTTGGGTCTCCAGCTGTTTTAGGACTACAATTCCCATCATCCCTGACCACTGGTCTTGCTAGCTAGGGATGATGGGAGCTGTAGTCCAAAAACAGCTGGAGACCCAA